TTTTTGTTACTAAGTGGGTGTTGATTAACGATGTGCCCATCTCTTCCATTTTCAGAACTTCAGCTGTGGGCTTAACTCGAGGAGCTAAAAAGCTCAGTCCCTGTTTCTGTGCACACCCTGTGAAGCCCCCTCCCCAGCCATTGGGTTCCAGCCTCATCCTTCCTTAAGTCCTTGAGTCCCTTTGTGTGGTATGGTGTGTGGTATTTGTGTAGTATGTAGGTGTGAGCATGTGGTATGTGTGGTGAGGTTATTTGTGTGTGATTTATGATGTGTGTGTAGCATGTGGGGTGTGTGTAGTTTGTGTGGTATACTGTGTATGGGGGGGGTAGGTGTGGAGCTTGTGTGCCATACATGTGGTGTATGTATGGGGTGTACATGTCGTTTATATGTGGGTGGGATATGTTGTGTATGTGTGAGATGTGTGTGCTGTATGTCTTGTGTGTGTGGTGTATGACATGTATGGAGAGATATGTGCTATATGCATGGTATGGTGTGAAATATGTGTGTGGTCTATGTGTTGTGTACTGTGTGGCAATGTATGGTGTGTGTATGGTATGTGGTGTGTGCGTGTACTTTGTCATATGTGTGGTGTATGCAGTATGTGTGTATATGTGGTATATGGTGTGTGTGATAAATGGTGTATGTGTGGTGGAGGCTGTGTGTGTATGGTGTGTGGCTGTATAGTGTATGGTGTGTACAGTGTGTGTGTGTTGTGTGGTATGTTTCTGTATAATGTATGGGGGTTTGTGTGTGTATGTGAGCGGTATACGTATGCTGTGTGGTGTGTGTGGTGTATAATATGTACAGTGTGTGCGCTGTGTGTGGTGTGCTGTATGTGTATTGCATGATGTGTGTATGTGCATTGTATGGAGTGTGTGTTTGGTGCACAGTGTATGTGGTTTGTGATATGTTTATGGTATGTGTGGTAAGTGTGCATGTGTGTTGTTGTTGTGACGTGCCATCTAATGGCTTGCCACTCATAGCGACCCTATGTAAAACAGCCCTAAATCTGCTCTGTCCTGTGCCAATCTCACTGCCTCCGACACACCCATCTCGACTACCCCAGTCACTGAATCAATCCACCTCATAGAGGGTCTTCCCCTCCTGCGCTGTCCCTCCACCCTCCCAAGCATGATGTCCTTCTCCAAGGACCGGTTCCTCCTTACAACGTGTGTAGTATGTTATATATGTATGTATGGTGTATGGTATGTGTGTATGATGGCATGTCGCGTGTGTGGTGTATGGTATGTATGATGTGTGTGCAGTGTGTTTTGTGTGCATGTGTGATGAATGGTATGTGTATATGTGTGGTGTATGCTGTGTTGTGTATATATGGTGTGCGGTGTGTGTAGTGTAAGGTAGGTATGATGTGCATGTTGTGTGTTGTATGTGTATATGTGGAATCTGGGGTACCTATATATGGTGTGTGTAGTGTATGGTATGTATGATGTGTGTGTAGTGTGGTGTGTGTGCATGTGGTGTGTGTAATGTATGGTATATGGTATGTGTGGTGGTGGTGGTGGTGGTGTTGCTATGTGCCATCGAGTCGTTTGCGACTCATAGCGACCCTATGTACAACAGCCCTCAACCCTGCTCTGTCCTATGCCAATCGCACTGCCTCTGACACACCCATTCCGATTACCCTAGTCACTGAATCAATCCACCTCATAGAGGGTCTTCCCCTCCTGCGCTGTCCCTCCACTCTGCCCAGCATGATGTCCCTCTCCAAGGACCTATCTCTCCTCACAACATGTCCAGAGTATGTCAGACAAAGCACCAGAATCCTTGCCTCAAAGGAGTAGCTTGATTTAACCCTCTCAAGGATGAATCTATTTGTTTTCTTGGCAGTCCTCAATACTCTTCTCCAGCACCACAGCTCAAAGGCATCAACTCTCCTTCTGTCCTCCCTAGTCATTGTCCAACTCTCTGATGCATAACAAGCGATTGCAAAGACCATGGCCTGTATCAGGCGCACCTTAGTCTCCAGAGAGACACCGTTGCTCCTGAGTACTTTAGAGAGGTCCCTAACAGCAGATGTTCCCATCGCAATATGTTTTTTAATTTCCTGGCTGATGTGCGGTGTAGGATGTGTATATGTGTGGTGTATGGTGCATGTACATATGGGTGTAAGGTGCATGGTGTGTTTGTATGTGATGAGTGTATGGTACGATGTGTGTGGTGTGAGTAATGGAGGTAGATTAAGGGCAGAGGTGCTGTGAATCTGGAGGGAGGAGGAAAGTCGGAAAGCACAGAGTGGGCCTTGGGTCCACAGAGGGGCAAGGGATCATCTTTGCCGTCCTCTCCTCCCTCAGCTGCCTCTCCTCACATCACAGCTCTCTCCACGGAGGCTCCTGAGCTGGTCAGTGAAGTAACCAAAAGGAGGCCTCATGCTGCCTGCACACTGTGGTACAGAGGACTTTGCCACCAGGATTTCCCAGACACAACCTAGCTTGCTGGAAGTTTATAGAGGTTTATATAAGTTTAATAGGGCTTGAAGTGCTTACTACAGAAGACCTAAGACCACACCTTTCAATATGGATTACATTTCAATATCAAGAAAACAAAAATTCTCAGGGGAGCTCTGGTGGCCTAGTGGCAAGGAGCTGCAACTACAATCCCAGAGGCGCACGGTTCAAATCCACCAGATGCTCTGCCGGGGAAGGAGGGACAATCTCCTCCTGTACCAGTCAGATCTGATTTGACGGTACACGCACACAAAAATAATAAAATAAAAAAAAAAGAAAAAAATTCTCACCAATTTCAACATCATGGTACATGGAAAAATACAAGATTGAAACTGTCAACGATTTCATCTTACTTGGATCCACAATCAATACACTTGGTACCAGCAGTCAGGAGATGCATTGCACTATGGATGTCTGCAGTCAGGAAGTTCTCCAAATTGTTGAGGAGCAATGATGTTAGTTTGAGGACTAAGGTGCACCTCATCCAGGCCATGGTCTATCCAGTCACTTGCTACGCATCTGAGAAATGAATACAGACGACAGAAGCAGTATCGATGCCTTTGAGCTTTGGTGTTGGAGAAGAGTACTGCATATCCCATGGACTGCCAAAGAACAAACATATGTCTTGGAGAAAGTGTAGCCAGAGTCCTCCTTGAAGGCAAAGATGACAAAGCTCCATTTCACACAGTTTTGGCATGTTGCTAGAAAAGACTATTCCTTGGAGAAGAACATCATATTTGGAAAGGTGGAAGGATGATGAAAGAGAGGAAGACCCTTAACCAGGTGGATTGACACAGTGACTGGAGCAATGGGCTGGAGTGTGTCAGAGATTATGAGGATGGCGCAGGACGGGACAGGGTTCAGATCTACTGTTCATAGGGTCGCTATGAGTCATACTTGATGGCACCTGACAACAACAATAGCAATCTTAATGAAAGGTCACTAGGCCTGTATTCTACCTGACTTCTGGGTACGTTCAAACCACTGGCCTTTATTTAAGCAGACCGTCTATTGCAAACCATGTCAGCACGATGCGAAGGCTTTCCAGGGTGCGAAGTCAGGGCCGCGGTTTGTTTTCTTTTACTGTCTGCTGCCGGACTGGACAAGACCTTCTCTGCTTCTGCTTCCCATACTTCTCCACAGCCAGCCCTGACCCTGCGAGCCTGGCTGGAAGGAAGGCTCTGCGGGGATGCCCTGGCCCGCAGAAGGCAGGGATCACCTCTCACCATTCTGTCTCTGCTCTTTCCCGCGTCTCTTCCTTTCTTCTCCACTCCCCAATCTGCGCCCTCACTCGCATCCCTTTAATTCCCAAGAGCGGCCTGTCTCCCATTAGCTCCCTCCCCCACCAGGAAGAGGATTTCCGGGGCCTGGGAAAAGCCTCCGGGTTTTCAGGGAGGCAGAGGCCCCTAGGGGACCTCGGGGGAGGAGGGAGTCGGGTCCATCTGTCACCAGGGCGAAGAAAGGGACCAAGGTCACCGAGTGGCACGATTGGTCGGTTGGACCAGAAGCGCTTTGGTCCTGCCCACTGGTTGCTAGGGTCCGGCCTATCAGCGTCCAGGAGGGTCTGGGTTGCCAGGTGGTTGAGGTGGGGACCAGGGCAGGTGTGTGTACCCCCGGAGGCGGCGAAGAGGTGATGGGTGGGTGGTCCCTCGGGGACTTCTTCGCGGTCTCTCGTGTCCTGCCTCTAGGGTCCTCGGACAGCAGCTGCAGACGCAGGTCGCCCCCAGACCCCCGCCCCTCCCTTCTGAGCGCCCGTCTCCCCCGCCCCTC